CATTTTCTTCAATGGTACACCCTCACCCTTTGTCTTGGTGCAGCCATTTTCGAATTTCTTCTCTAACAAGTCTAGCTAGCTGTTTGGATGCTGAGAAAATTGAGAAGAAAAATTTAAGATTAAACACAACTTTTTGGGATCAAATTAATTGGGTTTCTCAAGAATTTATTGAACGAGAAATAAAGAGTACGCGATTATTGGTGCTTTAATTATATACAACTTTGGATCAACCGTGAAAAATTGAAATGAAAGGAATTGCTTCTAAAACTTTTTCGCCCGTGTACAGAGGGAGAATGAAGAGGGAAAGTGAGACCATGAGGGGAGGAAAAGCGGAGAGACAGTTAAAATAGATTTTTTTTTTAGGATTTCATTTTTAAAATGGAAAGTTTAGGTGTGAATTTTTTCAATTATGAAAGTTCACTACTAGAAAAATGGGTTTTTGTGACGCTCATGAACAGTAAAATACTGTTCAAAATAAAAATATGCGTCACGATAGACAAAAACTGTATTTTTGGAGGAAAAAACGGAGATTTCTAGATATTTGACCTTTCGTGACGTTTTTTAACTGTCACAAAATGGTGGTAAAAAATTTGGTTTTTCGTGACTATTAAAAAACGTCACAAAACGTTGAGGCGCGTTTTTGGCGAGAAATGACGGAGTGTTCCGAATTTTTGACTTTTTGTGACGTTTTTCTAACCGTCACGAAATGGTCGTCCAAAAGTTGGTTTTTCGTGACATTTAAAGTCAAAAATTCACGAAAGGTTGAGGCGCGTTTTTGGCAGGAAATGACGGAGTATTCCGAATTTTTTACTTTTCGTGACGTTTTTCTAACTGTCACGAAATGATCGTCAAAAAGTTRGTTTTTTTGTGACGTTTAAAAAACATAGAGAAAAAGTAGATAAGAAAAAGTAATTAATTAACTTAAAGATCTTTAAAGCTAATTTGATGGAATATACTATTTTTTTAGGGATTGTTAGAATTTTAGTTAACAAAACATAAAAACCTAAAATTTAGGGGGTAGAAATTCCGAGTAAATTTTGAATCCCATTCAAAATAAATATTATTTTTGTATTTCTATTTAATTTTAAAAGAAAAATATTTAGGAATGGGTCAATTTCCATTATTTTATTTTATTTTTTCACCCTAAATGTAACGACCCGCGTTCTCGGTTAGTTTGCTTTTAAGATTTAATTTGTGCTTTCGGTTTTCCCCTAAGCTGATAATTTAAATCCTTAGATTTTCTAAATTTAGGGTTTTATTTTTGGGTAAGTTAGGATTTAAATTAGAATTTAAGTTTAATTTTGTTGGACCAAGATAAATTAAGTTAGCGAATTTTACCCAGAGAATTTTAATCCATTCTAGACAAAGGATTTTAATCAAGAGAATTTTACAAAGAGAATTTCATAGATTTTTTTTTTTCTTCCATTGAAAAAGATTTAATTAATGCTTATAATTTCAATAGGAAGGATTGCAATTTGAAATTATAAATCTTGGAAAAATGAAAATACAAATTTAATTACAAAATATAGAAAAAGAATAGAGAAAAAAAGTTAAATTAACTTAAAAGATTTTGGTAAACACGTAGGGAGATGGTGTTTTAAAAATAATCCCCAAGTCCATTTCTCTCTCCCATACATTCCCACCCCCAAATCGATTTTTCATCGCCATCGCCCAAGCATAACCACTCCTCGCCGTTCGTCTGTTCGTAGCCCTGCACTGTCGCCGCCATCCGTCGTCCACCCGTCTGTGGCTGCTGCTCTTTGCCCACCACCATTCTGCCTCATTTGCGCCCACCCTCCAAATCGACTTTCCTCTCCCTACTATCTCGTTCCTCGTCCGTTGCTCACCATCCGCCGTCTGTGGCCGCCGTTCCTTGCCGTCAGTCGCTCGTGAGGTAAATATTTTCTTTAAACATTTTTCCTCTTCCTTTTGTACTTGAAACCGAGTTAGTTAATTTCTTATGCTTCTCTCTAGGGTTTGAGTGAGAAATAGGAAGGGGAAATTTTGTTGGATTTGAAATTACATATACGTGGGGTGGGGGATTTAGAGGAAGTCCAGTTGTTTCACTATTTTGTAGACTCCGACTCTCTCCTTCTCTGGCTCACTGGTGGACCCGATTGCTCTACTCTTTCTAAACTTGCATTTGAAATTGGTAATTATTCATTTCATCATAAATATTTTATTTGATTGTTTGGTGCTTTGTTCCATTGCATTTAGTTTCTATTTAGTTTCATCAACAAATTTCTATCTCCATTTGACTCTTCCGTACTTTGCCACATTGATTGATTGACAACTTTGATTGCAATGATTTTTGTAGTGCATTTATTTAAAGGTATATATGTTTTAAAAAAGAGTTATACAATGCTGCCCAACTCTTGAGATTTTGACATAAGGGAGTTGAGACTCTAAAAGAGGGAGAGACAAAAACTTTTTCTTTTTTTAAACACATTTGAAAATCTCCAAAATGGGCAATCAGTAGGCAAGTTTTGTCTAAGAAGATTAGTTTTTAACTTCTTCATGGTATCTCATCCATTGTTAGACTAACTTTTATGGTTGTAAATAATCTTTTGTGTACCTGCTTCACAAAATGAAAACAAGTGCACAAGAAGGTAATTGATGTAGACTTTTGATTCATCATGTTAAAGTCTTTTACTCTGAAGATTTAATTGATGACTATAATTTAGTAATTATGAAGCATATTTGCATTTGTTTGAGACTATAAAGTGTAATTTATTGGTGAGCCTATTAGTTGTATGCATATTGTAGGTGTAACAGTTAGTTTTTCATTGCTAACTTGAAATCTAGAGATACCTATACTTTTAACTATTATACAAATCTTCCTATTTAAACTCCTCCTAGTTCTTCCAGCTTGCTTAATTAATTTTATTTTATTTTCTTTCCTAACTAGGAAGTTGGGTGGTTAATAATAGCTATTAAAGTCATAGTTA